TTATCTATAAAAAAAATATATATATTTTAAAACCTATTCTGGGAACTTGAAACACTAAACACTAAAAATAATAAAGCTACATAATAAAAGTGTGACCTGATAAAGCCCTATTTCCCAACTCCCTGTTGAACTCTGTCCCAACTTTTTGATCCCTAAATTTTATCATTTAGGCCAATAACAAGGTCCGAAAAGCATAGTGGGCTTATGTCCAGTTTCTTTTCTTGTTTCACAGTTTTTTTTGAACAAGGAAATATACTGCTATCCTTCATTGTTTAAAGGATATTCCTGTTCCATCTGGACCTTGCAAGGGACACGCGTTGCATTTTGAATATTCCAGCCTCAGTGTCTTGATCCATAAAATAGAAACAGTGACAGGAATATGTTCCAGTCGTGTCATTGTGAGGGATAATGTGCACAGCATGTAGAACAGTGCCTGGGATGTAGAAAGCATGCATAGGACCATCCTAAGTTCTAAAAAATATTCATCCATATTAATGCCAGCACAGGGCTCTATGCTGACAGCATCAAGAATTTAAACAGGACCAAAGCACTTTTTAAAATTTCCACTGCCCAGTCCCCTCTGGCAGCAGGCCCTCCTCTGTACCCCAGGAACTGAACACACGCCTATACACGCACCCACGCAGGCACGTGCACACAGGAGATGGCGCTGATTCAGCAGTCCTCGACCCCAGCTCCACTCCTCCCTCCTCCCCGAGGGCTTCACTCTGCTGGGCTTGCTCTGCTCTCTGCCTCTCTGGCCACCCTTTTGGATTTGACCATCTGGCTACTGGAACAAGTCACCGAGTTTCAGAACTGTTTTGTCTTAGACTGGCTCTGGTCTGGCCTGCCCTCTCTCATCTGGAGAGTTGACTGTATGGCTGTGAGAAGCAGTGAATCAACCCACTGTCCAGGCCTACCAGGAGGGAACATGCTGTATCAGATACCCACGGCCTCCAGCAATTGTCCCACCTGTCCAGGACCTCAGGAGGGACCAGATGTATGTGTGATTAAATGAGACTGGGCTAAACAAGGTAGGAAAATTGTGCAGGTGCATGACTCAAAAGGTGTGGAGGGCTAGGTGTTGGGAGCAATGCTACATAATTCTAGGGAAAAATCATTTGAGTAGGCCTAGTTCTCCTGCCTACAGGCCAGCAATAACACTCCAAGACATA